GGTGCGTAGACAGCATGGGACCAATGAGCAGATACCAAAAGAAAAGAATTTCCACACCTTTATCTCAGCGGTTCTGCCAGGCATCTGTGGCTGCTCTGATCCTTCCCCCACATGGTCTCATCCATGATAGCAGCTCCTGGAGCAACTGAGCATCCCAAACTAGAAAACAATGGATTTCTTGCTTCTGCCACAAATTCCCCCAGCTGTGAGCCTTCCAACCTTCTAAATATTCCTTTATATGTGGTTCAAAGTTCTGGGACCATCCCCTGAGCCGCTTGGTCGGGTACTCTGTGTTGTTGTGGCTGAGCTCTTTACGACACATCCACCCAATCCGCTATCTTACTTGTTCCTCAGTGCTTATCTTATATTGCCACACCAGGAGTGTATATATGTGTATGTATGTTGGTGTTTTGTTGTTAAGTGCTGTCCAGTCGGTTCTGACTCATAGCAAGTCTATAGGATTTCTGAACTCCTGCGTTTGGACTGCTGACCTCACTTTTAGCAGTTCAGTACTTTTCCTGCAGTGTTACACCAGACTCCAAAATAACAGTACATTTTATTGTTTGATTGTGGGTACTAAAAAAAATCCATAGAATTAATATAATGTTTTCTTTTTATAGTAGAGAACACCTCAGACAATAGGAACACCCCAAAATGGACTTATTCTTTGTTTTCAGAGCATAAAATCATGATTTCCTTAGCTGTGGCAGCATTTTCTGTGGAAAGGCAATGCTATCGTAAGGAACTCCTTAGGTTGTTATAGCTTCATTGCAGCTTTGACTGTTCGGAAAAATACTGGTTATCCTACGAAGAATCAGTTTAGAAACAGAAATGTAAAGCTTTAAGAGTAGAAACTTCACTCTGTGACTAAAATGGTAATGGTGGAAAGAATTGATTGTTGCCTTGATCCATTAGAGAGTATTGCCATCTTTGCTTGTTGATATAGATAAGAATTCTGGGGTTTGGGTAGAGAGTCAAAAGAGGGATTGATGAGCAGAGTGTGAATAAATTGTGAAGGTAGAGTCAACTGAATTATTGACAGATGGACATGATGATCCACCAGCCCCTTCTAAAACTTCCTGAATGGTGCAGTCTATGTTGTTGTTGTGGTTATGTGCCGTGGAGTCGGTTCCGACTCATAGTGACCCTGTACAGAGTTTCCAAGGCTGTAAATCTTTATGCGAGCAGAAAGCCTCATCTTTCTCCCATGGAACAGCTGGTAGTTTCAAACTACCGACCTTTTGGTTTGCAGCCCAATTTGTAACCACTATGCTACCAGAGCTCCTCATGTATGTAATCTGTGCTTATTGAGATGGGCAAGCAGTAGGGGTGAGGAAGTAATGAATTTGTTAAAAAGGGGTAATCAAACACATTTGACCTTGAAACTCACCTTTTTGTCACACAAAAGTTTCAGAACATTTAAAAAAACCCAGGTAGAGAGATGTGGAAAGCTGGGGTAGAGAAGCTCTATAAGGTATAGACTCCTCATATGTTAGAGTTTGTACTGTGTCTTTTAAATTTCTTTCGTATATGTAAGCTTTCTTTTTTTATTGATCAAATTCATAGTTGTTAGCTGCCATCGAGTCATATCCAGCTCATGAAACCTTATGTACAACAGCACATCCTGACAATCACCAGCAGCCTGTTTGAATGTATCACTGTGGTTACTCTGCCTGTCCATCTCACTGAGGGTCTCACTGCCCTCACTGAGCCTCTGCTTCACCAAAGATGATGTCCTCCTTTAGTGTTTGATTCCTCCGGATGACTTGTACAAAGCAAGGGAGTCAGTGTTCTGTTGTGATCTATAAGGTTTTCATGGGCTTTTTCTAAAAGCAGATCCACCCTCAACTAGATGGATTGACACAGTGACTACAACAGTGGACTCAAACATAGCCACAGTTGTGGGAATGGTGTAGAACTGCCTAGTGTTTCGTTCAGTTGTACATAAGGTCACTGTGAGTATGTACGACACGATGGCAGCTAACAACAAGTTATAATCCTAATCTGTCTTTGTCTAGAATCTCCACTGTAGCCTGTCCATCATGGGTCACTTGATGGTATTTGAAATACCAATGACATAGTGTCTAGCATCGTAGTAATACTCAAGGCACCACAGTGTGACAAATTGACAGACGGGTGTTAGGCATCACTAGTTAGGTGCCTATAATAAATGTGTATATACAGTAACAACCCTCTCCCCCATTCTCCCTTGTTTCCCCCACCCCTACCGCCGCTTCTCCCGTATGCTATTTACATTGAAAAACAACATGAAAATGGGGGTAAACATAATTTGTAACAACTTTGTTTGCTTTCATTCTGTGCAAAGAAAGTTGTTACATAAAGCCAGGTGCCTGTGACTATGAAAGAACACCAGTGAGAGGTTATATGTTCTCCTCAGGCTCATTATGAATGTTGGTGATGTCTAGTAAAATTTAATGTATATACAATGAGATTGAAATTCAAAATCTTAAAGGTACTATCCAACCTCCAGAGAATTTTGTCACCTATTAAATTTCAGTTTTACATTTACAAATGGAAGGTTTTGAACTACAAAACTTTCCAATTCCCTTCTAATTTTCTAGTTGTAGAGTCTAGAGTTCTTATTGCAGATCTTTTGCAAGTTATGCAGTGAGTGTCTTGAGTATGCTTAAATTAAGAAACAAATTTTAGGTGATGAGCAGCTTTCTAAAAGCAAGCCTTTTAAAACTAGTCTACTGATGCCAGTATGAAATGCAAACTACCTTGTAAATAAGGAAAATTTAGACAATTGTAGCTAATCCCTGGAATGAGGAAAGTTTGTCACAATGCTGTTCAATATGGACAGCTTCTTTAAAGAAGGCACATTACACATTAGCAGTGTGAATCGAATCAGGCATTAAACATTAGCATGAGAGGTGATGATATGGGAACAGTATTCTGAAGATACATTGATTCCTTCTCTACATTTTCTCTCAGGCTTTTCCAGGAAACACAAATGCAGACAGTGTGGTGCACTACAGACTCCAGCCTCCCATGGAAGCCAGGTTCCTTCGCTTCCTTCCCATAACCTGGAACCCTAACGGCAGGATTGGAATGCGGGTTGAAGTGTATGGATGTGCATACAGTAAGTGTTTTATGAGACGTCATAAAATTAGAATGGTCACTCAGTTGTAGTTTGGTAATGAATTTATGCAGGAATAATGCTTTAAAATGATGAGCATGGCATGGTTAGTTGGATAGGACCCAGAAAGAGGTTTCTATGGGAAAATGACTTACATAAAGCATAGAAGCAGGAGGTTAGTGGTTCTAATAGAGCAGCCATGTGGGGTAATATGGACTGTAAGTTGTTCAGTGTCAATGAATCATCTCCACTCTGGTAACCCTACAGATAATGAAGGGTTTCTAAGATGAGGCTTTCTCATACAACTGCATTTTGGATTCAAGAATGACTTTAATTCTTTCGAATGATATAGACATGACTTTTACTCAGTTTTCTAACCCTGCCTCTGTTTTTCAGTGCTCGTATTTCCACTGGGATATTTAGCATAAACGATGCTACTTTGCCACCAGTCTGGATTTATTTCTTTCTCTAATCAGTTCCTTCTACTTTTCTGTAAATGTGCTCACTGCTGCAATGGATAAAATGCTGATATTTAGGGTTTCCCTTTGGTGTCATGAAATCAACTTCTCATTCTCCCATTATTCTGAAAACAGCTTCAGGTTTTTACTGACTTAAAAACAGAACATGCTCTTTGATGGAATTTGCCATTAGCTTGATGTTTCTTTTTGAGGAGTTATTACTGAAGCTCTTTGGGTTTGGATTTGGTACCAGGGAGATTAAAGCTGCTGCCTGGTCCCCAGAAAGACAGGTTGGCCATGCAGCAGACACAGGACCTGCTGGCCACAGTGGACTCCTGACATAAATATGCAAATAGGTACTACATCACCACTACTTGAAATCTAATGCAAATTACCTCCTTTAATAGTAGTAACTCTGTGTTGTCTATACTTTTATTATTAATAAGAATAATTGTGTAAGTTTAGCACTTTGCACTTTTTTGTTGATGGTCATATGATCTGGTTTATTACTGAAAGTGATAGTTATTATCATCTTTTCTGTTTCCTGTCTGTTTCCACTATCTTGTTTGTATTCAGAGTAATGTCCAGATTGTTTATCTTGGCATATGTTACTGTGTTACTGTTAGGTGCTGTCTTGTTAGGTGTAGTCCTTCTTTTCAGAGTTATTATTTTACTCTCCATTTACAATGTTATTGCTGTTATTGTTAGGTACTCTCAATTCCAACTGATAACATAGCAGAACGAAACACTGCCTGGTTATGTGCCATCTTTACAATTGTGATATATTTGAGCCCATTGTTGCTTTCACTGTGTCAGTAACATCTCTTTGGTGGTCTTCCTCTGTGTTTGTTGACCCTTCACTTTACCAGGCATGATGTTCTTCTCCAGGAATTGATTCTTCTTGATAACATGTTAATGATAACATGAGAGACGAAGTCTCACCATCCTTGCTTCTGTGGAACAATCTGGCTGTACTTTTTCCAAAACAGAATTGTTCATTCTTCTGGCAATCCATGATATACTCAGTGTTCTTTAGCAACACCTATTTCACACGCATCAGTTCTCGAGTGTTCATTTTTCATTGTCCAGCTTTTGCATGTATATGTTGTTATTAAGTACTATCAAGTTCATTCCAACTCATAGCGACCATGTATAGGGTTTCCAACCACCAACCTTGCAGTTCAAACTGACCTTGCAGTCCAATGTTTATCCTATAACACCACACTAGGACTCCTGCATATGAGGTGACTGAAAATATCCTGGCTTGGGTCAGGCACACTTCAGTCCATGAAGTGCTCTTTACCAGTTTAAAGAGGTCTTTTGCAGCAGATTTGCCTAATGCAATTTGTTGTTTGATTTCTTGACTACTGCTTATATGAGTGTTGATTGTGGATCCAAGTAAAATAAAATTCAGTGCTTATCCTACAATGCCACACCAAGAATCCATGTACAGGTGTTTATGTTGTTGTTAAGTGCTGTTCAGTAGATTCTGACTCATAGCAACTCTGTGTAGGGTTTCTGATGAGCGACTAGTGGGTTTGAACTATGGACCTCTCAGTTAGCAGTCCAGAACTTATCCTACAGTCGCACATTAGGACTCTGAAACAGCACTATATTTTATTTTTTGATTGAGGGTACTGAAAATCCATAGAATTAAAATAACTTTGATGTTTGACAGTAGGTACTTAATCTCCAGTATAGCGATGCTAAAGCAAATGTAAGAAATGAGGAGGTAAAAGAACTGAAGAGAAAATTTCAAAGATCAGCTTGAGAAAACAAAGTCAAATATTATAATGAGATGTGCAAAGATCTGGAGTTAGAAAACCAAAAGGGAAGGACACCTCAGCATTTCTCAAGCTGAGGAAACTGAAGAAAAATTCAAATTTCACACTGCAATATTGAAGGAGTACAGTATTTCTTTGGATAATATATTGGATAATGTAGAAAGTATCAAAAGAAGATGAAAGGAATGGACAGAGTCACTGTAACAAAAAGAAATAGTAGATGTTCATCCATTTCAAGAGGCAACATATGATCAAGAACCAGTGATACTGAAAGAAGACGTGCAAGGTGCATTGAAGACTCTGGGAATTGATGGAATACAATTGAAATATTTCAGCAAACTGATGGGGCACTGGAGAGACTCACTCATCTATGCCAAGAAATTTGGAAAACAACTAACTGGAAGAGATCTATATTTGTGCCCACTCCAAAGAGAGGTGACCCAAGGAATGCTGAAATCATCAGACAATATCATTAATATCTCATGCAAGTAGAATTTTGTTAAAGATAATACAAGAGTGGCTGCAATCATACGTTAACAGAGAACTTCCAGAAGTGCAAGCCAGATTCAGAAGAGGATGTAGAACGAAGGATATCATTGCTGACATGAGATGGATTTTGTTTGAAAGAGCATATCAGAAAGATGTTTACCTGTGCTTTATTGACTATGCAAAGGCTTCTGGTTTTGTGGATAATGACAAGCTGTGGACAGCATTGTGGAGAATGAGCATTCCGGAACACTTAATTGTGCTCATGAGGCATCTGTACATAGACCTAGAGGCAGTAGTTCGAACAAAGCAAGGGTACACCGAATGGTTTAAAATTAGGAAAGGTGGGTGCCAGGGTTGTATTCTTTCATTATATTTATTCAGTCTGTGTGCATTGAAGGCATTAGTGAAAAACAAGGCTCTAGGAATCAATAGGATACAGTTGAGAGGTTTCACAAAACAGATGCAATGCTGGAAGTGCTTACTTGTCTTTGTCAAGGAATTTGGAAGACACCTACCTAGTCCATTCCAGAGAAATGTAGAATATGAAATTTATGAAACAATTATCATTACTATCACACACAAGGAAAACATTGCTGAGTTAATTAAAAATCAGTGGTAGCAGTACATTGACAGGGCTCTTGGTGTGTCATTGTGTGATAAACATTGGACTGAAAACCACAAGGTCAGCAGTTCAAACCTGCCAGACACTCTTCGGAAACCCTGTACAGCATCGCTATGAGCCAAAATCAATTCAATGGCACTTAACAACAATAACAACCAGAAATTCAAGCCACATTTAGAAGAGGATGTGTAACAACGGATATCATTGCTGCTGTCAGATGGATTTTGGCTGAAAGCAGTGAACACCACAGAAGTTTACATGTGCTTTATTGACTATGCAAAGCATTTAACAGTGTGGATTCTAACAAATTGTGTGTATAGCATTGTGAAGAGTGGAATTCCTGAACATTTAATTGTGCTCATGTGGAACCTGAGCAAGGTTCTATACCATAGGTTCTATACCAAGGTTCTATACTAAACCAGGAGGCAATCGTTCGAACAGAACAAGGAGATACTGAAAGGTATTAAATCAGGAAATGTGTGCATCAGAGTTATCTCCTTTTACCACATTTTGTATACTGAGCAAATAATCCAAAATGCTGGATTACATGAAGACTGTGGCATTAGGATTGGAGGAACCTATGATATGCAGATAATACAACCTTGCTTGTTGAAAGCAAAAGGTACTTTAAGTACTGATGAAATATTTATTTATATACTGACTGATAACTGTAGCCTTCAATATAGGTTGCACCTCAATGTAAAGAAAATGAAAATGAAATCTTCACAACTGGACCAATAAATAACATCGTGATAAGTCGAGAAAAGATCGAAGTTGTCAAATACTTAATTTTGCTTGGATCCATAATCAGTGCTAAGGAAAGCAGCAGTCAAGAAATCAAACAATGTATTTCATTGGGCAAATCTGCTACAAGCTACCTCTTCAAATTGTAAAATATGTCCGTTTGAGGATTAAAGCATGTCTGACCCAAGCCATGGTATTTTCCATCACTTCATATGCATGTGAAAGTTGAACACTGAATAAGGACAACCATAGAAGAATTGATGCATTTGAATGATGGTGCTGGCAGAGAATATTGAAAGTGCCATGGACTGCCAGAAGAACAAACAAATCTGTTTTGGGAAGAATACAGCCAGAATGAGCCTTAGAAGCCAGGATGATGTGACTTTGTCTCTTGTACTTTGGTCATGTTATCAGGAAGGAAAAGTCCCTGGAGAAGGGTATCATTCCTTTTATTTATTTATTTAGCATCTGTGCTTTTTTTTTTTTTTTTTGAATTGCTCACTTTACTACACAAGGAAGCCTTCAGAAACATTTCTGAATATCATAATATCATTATTGAGGATAAGTGAGTATAGAAAATAAAGTTATTAAGATGGAACAATGTTTAAGACTGTATTAATCATATCATAACACAGAAGATCAGAAGATGTTACCATAGTAACCTTACCTCCATGTTTCCAATGAAAATAATGTATAAGCTCTTTTATTATGAGAAGTTAAATATATGGATTTCCCTTCTAGTACATGGGGTGGGGGGGGGAAGCAATTTTCTTTTTCTTTTTCTTTTTTTCCTTTTCTTTAAACTGCCTTCCCCATCATCCCAGTTACCATGTGTCTGCATGCTACACCAGTGAATAATTTTCCATTCCCTCCCTCCTCTGATAAGCATCATAGACAGTTTATTAT